AGCTAATACGTTATTGATATTAAGTAGGTACATCGTTTAATTATTAATCTTAATAAATTTATTGATTTATCGATCTATAATATACCTACCTATTACCTAATAATAATACGCACTTTCGCAGTAGGTAGGTACTGTCGTACTGAATACTGATTATGTTGGCTTCTCGCTCGCACAATACTTTAGTGTTCACAGTTTTACATGGGTAACTTAAAAAAATTATAATATGGGTGATGGATATGAATAGAAGTGTATAGTACTATGAAATAATATGAATATTATATGATATTGTATTATATTTGCAATATGTTTAACGCTGTTAAGCATGTTCATACAGATTATATTAATTATTATATTGTTTGGATTTTGGTTAGGGCCTTCTTTTTAAGTACCTACCTAAATGTCAGATTGTCATCCTTATTTTTTTCGTAATACACACTTTGATAGTTATACGCAGAAGCTTTTTCGCGATTAATTTAAATTGATATGGAAATTCGAATTGTCCATCATCTGCGTGCCATTTCTGGTAAGATGAGTTGTGCATTTATTGTAATTATAATAATAGCGGGACTAATATGAGGTTAGTGCATTTTGGCCAGGAGCCACCTGCAATGATATGATTCCTGCAGGTTGCTCAAAATAAAATCCAATTTTATTGTTTTTTTATTATTATTAATTAACCCGTTGCAACTTAGGCAATTGGGTGGTTTTTAACTGTGGGGGAGGGTACTGTAAGGTGTAAATTATTTACCTATTATAGGTGTGTGTTGTTTTGGCAGATTTTTAAATGGGCACCCGTAGGTATCTGCCATGCCCGGGTGGGGGATGGCGACACACGCCTGAAGAAAAATGACGCCTGCAGCGACCCAGCAGGTTTCGAACAGGCGCCGGTGCGCGTCGCAGCCGACTACTTGGTCCGCTCGGCCACTCCGTCACCCCAAAATACAATTATTATTTATTATTTATTATATATATACAGAGTCGGACTGGCCCGGACCGCTAGTCCGCAATTGCGGACGGGGCCCTGGCTTAATTATGGTAATTGGGGGCCCCTGATTTTGTACCTATTAATATTATTATTATTTGTTTAGAGTAAATAGAAATACGAAATAAACATTTTTTTTTTCAAACCAGGAACGTATTTTTGTTTACAATGTTGAGACGTTCTCAAAAAAAATTTAAATAACGACATTATCATTATCATTCTACGAATAATCTAGTGTCTATATACAAATATGTATCATTGATTTTAAATAGTGTAAAAGTATTGTGACTAATAAGAGGATGTCAGTGCACTATTTGTTTTTTCTCTCTAGCCCACGCGCAACATAGACAAAACGCATTAACGCAGAATTATTTTTTCTATGTTTTTAAGTTATCTTAGAGTAAAATCAACCATCACAAAAAAGATAGAGAATAATATTTTTGAGGGAACGGCATATCGATTTGTATTTTATTGTTATTTTACTTTGTATTCGACTTTCAAAATAAACAAAAAAAAATTGTAAATTTAAATTATGTTTAAATTGTTTTGAGACAATATTTAGACAAATCGATATGTCATTCCCTCAAAAATATTATTCAGTATTCTCTATCTTTTTTTGTAATAGGTGATTTTACTCTAAGATTACTTAAAAACATGATTCTGCTTAATACGTTTTGTCTATGTTGTGTATGGGCCAGAGAAAGAAAACAAATATGAAATCCTCTTAAATAATATTATATTATAATATTTATACGGGCGTATGCGTATGACTTGGTATTATTTCGTGTTATAACTGATTTTAACTGAATTGAGGATTGTGGGATTTCCCCTGTCTGATAATAAAAACAGTCCGATGGGTCTCTTGTCGTCAATTTACTAAGTACCTGCGGAAAATGTCTTAGCATTTGGGAATATGCTCAATATAACTATATAACTCTATATTTAAAATATAGTAAAACCAATTAATATATCAAGTGATTGAATTTCAGTTAGGTACGTATTTAGTTATTTGTGCCCATATGTGGCTGTATGGTAAATATGGAAGATGGCAATTGTATTGAAAGAAAAATGTTCTATGAAAATTGTATCTCGAGCGAAGCGAGTTTTTTTTTTTGGGCTGATCAAAACATTTGCCATTTGAATGTAGGGGGCCCCTTTTTCCAAATCGCGGACTGGGCCTTTTCGAGCCAGTCCGACACTGTATATATATATATATGTTATTATATAACTAATACACGTATTGTCTTAATAATATATTATAATATTATAAAAATATTAATTATATATTATTATTCCCGTTATGACATAATAATATTATAATATTATTTTCCTTCATTACTTTAATAATAATATAAATATATTGTAATATATATAATACTATATTGTTTTATATATAATATTACATAAATAATGAAATAATAATAATATTATATTATTATCATTACAATTTTGCTATCTGGGATATATACATATCTATGGTACTAAACCAAAATTTGACGTATAATAGGTACCTATAATAAATTCCAAATTAATCATATCACAATATCCATTAGATACTTATAATGCGTTATACATCAACAAAAACCGTGATACTATCATAGATATATAATAGTACACTTTCGAAGTTTCAAGTACCCACGAATAATATTATTCAATCACAACAAAATAACTAAAATAGTTATTCTAGGTTTTTTAATATGTATAATTTGGTCCAAATTTGAATTTAAAATGTCTCTCAATTTGTCTAATAAGTATAAAAAAATTGTTATCAGGGTGAGTCAAAAATCCTTTAGATTTTAAATTGACTAGTTGTGCAGTTTCAGAATTACACCTGTTTTCTGGATTTTTGATGCCCAATAAACAAGTTTGACAATTTGTTTTTTTACTAACTTTCCTTTCCAAATATCTATCAAATTAAAATTATATTATTCAGTTAGCTTAAAATAAATCTACATTATTTATCAGCAAAAAATATTTCAACACAATACAAATTACCCAGATAAGTAGTACACTACACACTCAAAAGTAGCATTGTCATCAAAATTATGTTTTTGAAAAATGTCATCAATATTCCATCGACCATCTTCTATGATAGTGTCTAAATAAGTTTTTAATTTTGAAATTTTTTTCTCTCTTATTTCTGATGTATTTTCTGCCATTGCGTCTTTTAAATCAGACATACTTATTAAGGGTACATAATCTGAATCTAAATAAGAAAAATTATTTTTGATTATATTAATTGATGTAATCCTTTAAAAATATATATTATTAAAATTATTATTTTTAGTGTACCTTCGGATAGTGTACAATTTTCAGTTTTGGGAGGCTTAATCAAAGAGTACACTGAAAGTAATCTATAAAGTTGTAAGAATGTCGGACATGAAGGGTAATAATTGGGACCAGCGGATTGTCTTATGATTCCAAAAAACTTCTAAAATATATGTTATACAAGTTATAATATAAAAAAAATTATACAAAAATAACGTTTTAGGAAAGTACTAACTTCTAACGAACTTGATTGAATTTAGAAGATAGGACATAATGAAAACCACATTCATCTAATAAAAATAATGATAAGTCTATTGTGGATTTCAAAGTAATTCTTAATGATTCAGCTGTGTTTTTGGTTAAGAACTCTTCATCTTTAATATGTCCTTCAGATAATTGACTCTCCCATTCATCTAACCATACTAAACATTGATTTAATACCTATAATTAATAATATACATTGGATCATTCCTAAGCCGAATATTATGATTGAAATATAAATATGTAAAACATGAATACACAACATTTAATGTACAAGCAGTATAAATAATACTTAGCTTTAAATTCCTCAAACAAAACGGCTTGCTACCAACATAGGATTAACTATAGACTATTAATTATAGTTAATACAGAACACAAACACTTAGCCACAAACATACAACATATAAAAAAACCTTTATATCTTGACCCTCTTTCCGAATGCCTTCAGCTGGGAATTTTCGATTCATAGCATCAAACATATCATTCATTAGTAGTGTAAACATTTCAGTCTCTAAAGAATCTTTTAAATCTGTACATTGTTGATCACGATAAAATTTCAACCCAATAGCCATTGATTTACTAAACAGTTAAATGTACAACATACGTCAATAAAATAAAATAATAATATGTATTAATGTGTATTCTGATTTCTGGAGTCTAAACATATTATGTATTATAAATAAAAATTATAACATTTATCTAAAGTCGAATATGTCATATGCAAATAATAATAATAACATTTATTTGTAGGTACTAACCAATTTTTAATTTTTTTAATTTTAATAATAATATTAAGTGTTCAAATTCTCAAAATAATATACAATCATTTTATATAAAACATATGTTTTTTGGTTTTTATAGGTTAGACCTTAGTGGGCCGATTTTTTAGTATCGCGGTAGACATTTTTGACCCAGTTTTGCCCTGTGTGAAGGGCGCGAATCGCCATATATTATATAATTATATTTGTTTTTGTGTCAAATTATTAAAACAGTTCGCGTTCGGCATCCGTCGCGCACACTGCTTGCGCTCCGTCCTGTGATTTTATTTATTCCGTATATTGGTCTCATGTATCAATTTATACTTAATTACACTTAAAACATCTGCGTTAAATTAATATAGTAATGTAAAAGATTACTTAGTTTCAAATTATTCTTATAGTCGATATAAATAACAAAATTAATAATCTCATCGTCGATTACCTACGTATTCACTATATTATTTACAACAACTTGTGTGCTGTCTTATCGCACGCCGCTGCGGCGGCAGCGACCTCGACTTTATCGCAATAATAATTATGCCGCAATCTACATCCAATAATATAAACACAAACATAGCCAGCACTAAATCTAACGGTACTACCAAACTACAGCCTGCTCGCCTAAACAAAGTTTCAACTTCTGTCAACACTAATCACTCAGTCGGTAATCAAGACGTTACCATGGAAAATTCTTCGTCAGGAAATTGGTCCGTGGCACAGTCAAAAAAAAATCAAAGTAATAATAAAAGAAATCTCTCTTCCTCTTCTTCCGAACAAAATTCGCCAAAAATACAAAACAACAAAAAATTATTTTTTACGTCAAACCGCTTTGAAGTGCTCTCACAAGATGATCCACAGCCCACCTCTCCAACAAAACCTACTCCACCGATTTCTAATGAGTCAATTTCAAATAACAACATCAATGTCGGAATTAAAACAACTCTCCCCCCACCAATTTTTGTAAAAGGTGTAATCTGTTTTACCGATCTTTGTTCAGAACTTATTGAACAAATCGGAGTAGATAATTTCTCCTGCAAATCCTCAACTGACCGCTTAAAAATTATGACAAGTAACCCAGCTTCCTATAGAACGCTGATTCATTTCCTCAAAGAGCAAAAAGCTGAATACCACACGTACCAGCTCAAAGAGGATAAACCAACGCGAGTGGTCATCCGTAATCTCCATCCGTCCACGTCCACAGAACTTATCAAATCGGAGCTTGAGTTGCGGTTATTTGAGGTCCGTCAAGTAACGAATGTATTACATAAAATCAATAAACACCCACTACCGTTATTTTTCGTCGACCTCGAACCGACAATTCAATCCAACGATATTTATAAGCTGACATCTCTTATTCACACCAAAATAAAAGTGGAAGAACCATACAAAACAAAAATTATAAGCCAGTGTATCAACTGCCAGGATTATGGTCATACCAAATCGTACTGCGGCTATCCAGCTCGCTGTGTCCGCTGCGGCGCACTCCACTCCTCATCAGACTGTCCCAATCCACGAGATGCTACTCCAAAATGTGCCCTCTGCTCCGGTGATCACCCCTCAAATTACAAAGGCTGCTCTGTTTACAAGGATCTACAACATCGCAACAAACCAAAAAAAAGCAATCTTCTGTCGGATAATATTAGTCATAAGAAAAATGTACAGGTTAGTCATCCAGTGGTTACCCCCTCAACAAATCCACCAGACTCGTTCCAAACCTACGCACAAGCTACCTCCGGTTCTTGCTCTAATAACATAATCCCTCCTCCTGTATCAGATATAAACAAGTTCCTTGACGAGTTTAAATTACTAATAAATCCACTAATCGCCCTTCTCACCCAAGTTATCTCAAAACTTCTGGATAAAAATTAATGTCTTCATACACAAGTAACTCCCTTCTTATCCTTCTATTCAACTCAAATGGTCTTAAAAATCACTCAAATGAACTCCAAATAGTACTCCAGGAGAAGCGTATCGATATTGCCTTGATATCCGAAACGCACTTTACAAAATACTCTCACATCGCTATACCTGGTTATCATCTCCTAAAAACAAATCACCCAGATAACTCTGCTCATGGTGGTGCTGCAATTTATATTAAATCTTCCTTGTCCTTTCAATCCCTTCCAAATTTTTGTCAGCCCCATTTACAGTCCTGTGCTATCTTACTACACCTCAACAATATTCCAACAACTTTAGCAGCAATATATTCCCCTCCGAGGCATAATATTAATATTCAAAACTATATAGATTACTTTAGCTCCTTTAGCCAAAACTTTATCATTGGTGGTGACTTCAATGCTAAACACCTCAGCTGGGGCTGTCGTACAAACAACCCAAGAGGTACGGTTCTCTACAATTTTATAAATCTTAAGGGCTACAAAATCCTTGCGCCCCCTGGACCAACATACTGGCCTACCTCCTTACACAAAAAACCGGACATACTAGACATATTTATTTCCAACACACCTCGCAATCTATTCTGCACGACTACCAATCTCTTAGAACCCTGCTCGGATCACTCTGCAGTACTCCTGACTGTCAGTGCCTGTCCTCCAACCCGGCCTTCTCTACCAAAACTCTTTCTACATTCAACCAATAGGCTTAAATTCCACGATTTGGTGGATAAAAATATAAATCTCAAAGTTAGTCTTAAATCCCCCCAAGAAATTGATGAAGCCATAAACTACCTAACAAATGTAATCCAATCTGCAGCATGGGCTTCTGGTCCTACTAAAATACAGCATTCAAATGTTGCTGCTTCAGTCCCCGAACATATTCGTATCCTTATATCCAATAAGCGCAGAGCAAGGGCCGTCTACCAACGTTCACGTCTTCCATCCCACAAACGTATTTATAACAATCTATCTAACTCGCTGAAAAAAATACTAGCTAAACATAAAAATCAATCTTTTGTAAACCATCTCTCCAACTTATCACCTAACAATGGCAGTCTTTGGGCAGCTACCAAAAGCCTTCTAAAATTCAAACCGTCGCTCGTTCCTATAATAAATCCCCACGGTGGATTTGCATCAACCGATGTTGAAAAAGCAGAACTGTTTAAAGAACATCTAACTGAAACTTTTACGCCTCACCAGGATATACAAATTCCTTCACATACTGACAAAGTAAATCGTTTACTTGATATCCCTCTTTCTATCTCTCCCGCAGTTAAGCATTTCTCTCCTGGAGACGTTAAATTTACAATTCAAAAATACAGTCTCAAAAAATCTCCGGGGTTCGACCTGATAACTGCAGAAGTGGCCAGGTCCCTCCCCAAAAGAGCCATTGTTTTTCTCACAGTTATATATAATGCGTGCCTAAGATTGTCATATTTTCCCATGCTTTGGAAATTCTCTGTAACAATTCTAGTTCCAAAACCTAATAAGCCCCCTGACATGTCCTCCTCCTACCGACCAATAAGTCTCCTCCCCTTCTTCAGCAAAATTTTAGAAAGATTAATTCTTAAAAGAATTCTTCCATGCATTTCTGCCAGTTCCATATTACCAAATACTCAATTTGGTTTTCGTTCCGCTCATTCCTCAATACATCAACTACACAGACTAGTTGATGCTATCTCATTCTCCCTTGAAAAAAAAAAGTTATTGCTCCTGCGTCTTCTTGGATATATCCCAAGCATTCGATAGGGTATGGCACGAGGGACTGCTGTATAAAATAAAGCCAATATTTCATCCAACCTACTACTTATTAATCAAATCCTACCTCACGGATCGTTACTTTCAGGTCAGAGTTGGCACATCCTTTTCTGGCTTAGCAAAAATTAGTGCAGGTGTTCCTCAGGGGGGCATCCTTTCTCCTCTATTATACAACATATACGCTGCCGATCAACCAACCTCTCCGTACACATCTGTTGCGGAGTTTGCCGATGACAAGGCTATTATTTCTATCCATGATAACCCTCACACAGCTTCCCTCAATCTTCAACTCCACCTGGACCTCATGGCTGATTGGTATAAAAAATGGCGTATCAAAGTTAACCAATCCAAATCACTTCACACAACTTTCACTCTTCGTCTTCCTCCTTGTCCTATGGTATATCTAGACAATATTCAAATCCCTTCCTCTCAATCGGCTAAATACTTAGGTCTGACAATTGACCGTCGACTCACATGGTCACATCATATTAAAATTAAAAGGCTAGCCCTAAATGCACGACTCCGCATCCTCAAAACTCTAATTACCAAAAACAAACACACTCCATTAAATACTAAACTCTTAATTTATAAATCCTTGTTTAAGCCTATGTGGACCTATGGTCTTCAACTCTGGGGCAATGCCAAAAAATCGAACACTAATAAAATTCAAACCTTCCAAAACAACATCCTTCGTAAAATCACAAACTCTCCTCCATATATTTCAAACCTAACTTTACACACCGATCTAAAAATTAAAACAGTCCACGAAGAAGCAGTAACCTTTTACAAACGTTTCCACTCAAAACTTCCTTCTCATACCAACCCCCTCATTTCAAACCTTTCCACATTCACAATTCCTGGGAACCCTCCTAGGAGGCTCAGAAGAAAATGGTGTCGAGATCTTCTCAATGAGTACACACAATAATGAACAAACATTATAGAAAAAAAAAAAATAAAATAACAAAAAATATCAAGTAAGGGTAGTGTAACCACTGGGTGACTCCTCCCATCACGTAATCATGTTATTAACTTTTAAAATATCACATATTCTTATTGTTCCTAAAAGAACAGATTGTATATACCTTATAAATAATAAAAAAAAAAAAAAAAAAAAAAAAATTATTAAAACAGGCACAAGTAGCAAGCTTGAGAGTTTTTATACATATTATTATTATTATAGTTTTTACGAGCTTACTGCTATACCTATATTTTATTCTGTCTGGCCAGGATGAGGGCCACATATTATTATACGTATCGTACTGTTTTGGCTTACGAGTTACGGTCCGTGCTTAATTATTATTTTATCTGTCGTTTTTTTACTGTAATACAGCAATATTTAAATACCGTTATGTTTTAGTTACCATTTTTTTGAGTTAGATTTCTGTTGTTAGTAGTTATTTCAGCACACGCCCGTCACCCACACATATGTACACACACATTTACACACCCACCACACACTAGCCTTGCCGAGCAAGTCTTTGATAGTCTTGCTCGGTGAACCCGTCCACTTCGACCGAATTGCGAATACATGTAAGCACTCATCATACGCAGGTCTTTGGGGTGTGGATGCGATACGAAGTATTGTGGATACCAAGGTCTATTGTTGTTCGTTTCCAGCCCAAACACTCGTTTTTAATAACCGTGTCTTAGCTACTAAAATTAAGGGTGTCAGAAATTAAAACAATTAGTTACACTTTAGATTCGTTTATTAGGCATTAGAAAACATGAGATAAACATTAGGTACAAACAATACAAACAGCAGCTACAACACGTCGCGGAGCACATGAAAGTCGTGCACCGCGGTAGCAATTTTAATTTTAAACAACAGTAGAACACGTCCCGTCGGCGGAGCACATGACCGCGGTCGTATGTATAAACAGAAGGAGGCAGAAGTACAACTGATTCAGGGCCTCGGCCTGGAGAACCCGAGGAGGTGGCTATCAGCGGGACCACGCTATCAACTGTAAGTATAGAAATTATATATAGGTACTTGACAACAGAAAATATTTTACAGTTTAGGTGGTATGTTGGAACGTACCTCAATTTTATAATTGTTGACAACATTTAAACGATGGTCACGACTTTCGTCATAAGCCCAGTCAGACATTATTTTCTTTGATCTTACCCTATACACCATTTGCATGTGTGGTGGTAAATCACAATATGCATTGTAATTTGTCCCCGCAAACTTAACAGGCTCTGTAAATAAAATAAAAAATTAAACTACAATATATAAAAAACTTGTGTTGATATAGTTTCTGTCGTGCTTTTTTTTTGCTTATTATAATATTTTTAAGTTCTTATATGAATGCCCAGGTATATGAAGTATTTAAGTGTTTTTTTTTATGTATAGGTTCTCTAAATCCCAAACCCCGGTTATGACTGTTATGAGTGTATACAATTTTACAGTTTAAAAATTCACATATCCGAAATGTTCTTAACTTTGTTATATAATAGGTCAAATCACCCTAAAACTAAAGATAACAACACAAGGTCGGTTCTGCTAAACACACATTATGTATGTTGAGCGTGGGTTAGAGAGAGAAAAAAAACTGCACAGACATCCTCTTAATAACAACTGCAAAAATTACAAGAAATAATAATATAATATTATTATATACAATTTGTTTTAGCAACAAACCTACCCATAATATGACTAATAGAAAAATTAATTACGAAATAACAATATAAATAGGTACCTATATTAAAATACCCATACAAGTTACTAAAAAAACAAGTCCGTCTCTTCTCAAAATCGTTTTTCATACGCAATGATTTATCATATAGTTATTATATAAAAAAAAATGCTAACATATCCATTACAGTGACTCAATAATGTGGTACACACAACACTTATACAGCAGTAGATTTTTAAACTATTTTAAAACTAAAAACAATTACCCTCATCCATCCAACCCTTGGAATTCATTATTTTTAGTTTCTTTATCAAACATTTTAATGTCGATGACATCCCATAGTTTTCCATAGAGGATACAAGTTTATTGATTTTTTTGTTCAAATCATATGACGTCTGGAAAAAAAACTATTTATTTTAAACAATTTCTTCGTAGCAATTTTTTGTTGTTACTTTTGATAATATTAGCCCAACTGATTGTAATATTATACACAAACAGTGCATTTGTAGTTCATAGTTGTTGTCATTCTTCTCTTTACCTAAATCTCCAATGCACTTGAGTATATACTTTTCTGGGAACGCGCCGTTTTTAAACAGTTCGCCAATAAATCTATCAAAAGTAATAATTTACATAAATAAAAATAACGAAAGTGTTAATTAAATAATACTAATTCAAAACACACCTGCAATTGCATATGGATCTTTTCTGGAAATCGAATAGAAAATTATTTAAAACAACGGATAAACACTTCTTCGGTACCTGGTAAACAAATAATAGTATGTATAAGTATTATTGAACCAACTTCTAAAAATTAGTAAACTTATTTTGAATTCAGAATTACATATAATTTCATACAGGATTTAGGAATAAAAATAAAACGTATAAAGGTATTTTAATAATATGTTGAGAACCATAGATGATAATAATCATAAGTCATAACAAAATATAATGACAACATAACTATATTTACCATATTATCATTTTTCATTGTATCTTTTAATTTATTCAATTCTTCTCGATAGTTTGAATAAAAAACATCGTGACATTTTTTTAATAACACTTTTTGAAATGTTATTTCAGTATCGGAAGCAATAAGATTATTAAACTTGGAGTCATTGATCAAACGTGCACAGTGCACACATCTGAGCGTATATGTGTGTATAATTTTGTCTTTTTAAAGCCTAGATGGATATAACGATAATGCAATAGATAAAATAAAACGCAATGATAATATTATACAAGTTCAATTAGAAGTTAGAACTATAATCAATATTAATTTTATACACAATATACATACTCGATCAAATATTATATTTGTTATGTCATCGAGTAGTTTAACATTATTTATTGGCAAAGCCATCATTTTTTGTGTCATCTTAACCCAGTTGACATCATTTAAATGGTAAACAATCGATCTTACAGTATTTAACACTTGCTAAAATAATACAAATTAAAAATTTGATGATTAAAATGTATAAATACATTAGAGACTAAATGTATAGAGACTAAATAACACTTAATATTGCATGAATAATAAATAAAAACTATTCTATCTCTAATTGTGTAAATTAATACACTATATATATATGCTTATGTTCATCCAGGCTGAATTTAGTTGAAAATAGCAATCTAATGACACATAGGTATCTTGTCTATATTCCTACCGTTTAATTGTGGTGCTGATTATTGTTTTCGTCAGGTTAGAATGTTGGATTAAATATTATGTAATAATGAACAATTTAACTTATTTATAACATATTATGAAAATTATATATAAAAGAAGCATTAACATTTTATAAATGTGTAACATTGTGTATAACATTGAATACTTACATCAGAGTTATTTTTTTGTTCCATAATTACTTTTTTTTCAATCTTATGAACCTCAGTCTTCAGTACAAACAAAAAACTGAAAATAAAATAAAGAAAATTATAAGAAAGAAACAGATTTAAATTTAATAATAATAATAAATGAATACAACATTTTATTTAGAAACTGATTGTAATAAAACTCAAATAATATGTTAAATCAAAAATTTAATTATTTACCACTTTGTATACGTATTATTATAGTCCTAACTTAATTTTTCATAATGGCTCAGATTTGTATTATTATTATAATAATCATTACAATATTACCATTAAAGAAATTACATTTTTCATACATTATATTACATTGAATTGGAAATCCATATAACTTAATACGAAACTAATAGATACATTTTAAACAGTGTTGAACTGTTGAAGAATAGATATTTGTGTTGAACTATATGAATAATATTGTAACAATTTTTTTAAATAAAATCAAAATTTTGTTTCATTCTTCCAAGTATTAGGTATTTTCAAGTCCAATTTATCTAATTGTTATTTAGTAAACCAAGTACAAAAAAATCAAGAATGCTCATCGATAAATATGGTCTGCAGACATACCTAGTTCGGAGTTTCGGACTCAAGATTATTTTTTCGGTAATATTATATTATAAATTGTAATCATGAAATACCTACTATTTACTACTTAGTACAATTATGATTATGCTAAAAAGTACTAATTCTATATAATTATCCATACAATTACAATATTACTGTCACATAAAATAATTAATGTACCTTACTTGTAGTTACTTGTGTATAGAGTATTAATTACTAGTTCGTATAATCTTCAGTTGACACGTAGGTATTAATCAATAGAAACGGACTTTACTGCAGGTCTGAACTCAATGACGATAATTGGAAAATGAGTACTAAATCTAATGCAGGTATAATATATTTATATTATTATGTTGCCAAGTATTTGTTATTATACATAACACACCAATAGCAACCATTAAAATTACCTAGGTACTGCTTAATAACAATATTATACGCTAATGCAGGCCAAGTATTAAACTATACCTAGCAATTAACAATGATTAAAAGCTCACTGAATAGGTGCACAACTTAAGTCACCCAAATGTCTATACTATATAGTTACTATATTTAGGAACTACCACAGAACAAGAACTGCAGTTTACTATAATACTATACTTTCTCGATCAATATATAGAACACTCGTGTCTCGCTGCAGTGTATTGTGTACGCAGAAAACCATAAAACAACAAAATTATAAAGGTTATATTATTATAGTTTATATCTCAGACATCCTTGCGCCGAGGTGATGTTTGGATACGGCACTGTTAAAAAGTGTGCCGTCTTAACCTGCTTAAAGTTGGTCCAGATTTGTCGAACAGAAATGTGCGGTTATTAGAGTCAACGGTTTGAATTATCGATTTCAAACGATGTGTGTCCTACACAATTTTGAAATACGTAGAAGTACAGATTTCTTTGGTACCGACCACGAGCATATATATCACGGAGGATCAGCAGTCTTTCATGGCCTCTCAAGCCGGGTTTACACTACACCTTGTCGAGTGATTTCGTATTTGTACGTTTATACCAAAATGCAATACCAATGATATTAATATTGTATCTGATGATAACATATTATATTATTTTATTTTAGCTATCACTTTTCCGCACATAAATGTAACCACACGGTCAAAAATTGAATACATTCAACTTTGCAGTATCGTTTGGTAACTGAGCAGGTGGTAACTGTGATTATTTTACACTTCACAGTGTAGTGTGAACCCGCACTTGGCTTCAGGTACTATCTGAAAGTGGTCGTTTTCGGCATGCATATATTAGTTATATATATCAGACTCAGCATTGAAGCTCGGACGAATGTAGGTATATAATATTTAAAAATTATAAATATACTAGCTGATCCTGTGCACTTCGTTGCCCGTTAAATGTATCAACTCTATATGACTCAACCTTTGTTCAATTCGTTATTTAATATCGGTGTATGGTGTTCAAAATTTATCTCAACTTTTTCGTTACCCGGAATAATAATTCTGCTTCGCAGCAGTACATTAACAGGTAGGCAATTTACCTGCGGTAGACCCCGTGCTGTTTGTACGTAACTTTAAAATTTAACTCTGAAGTATCAAAGTTATACCTACTAAGTTTGTCGTTTTTACTTAAGTCCACCTACGGTAGATTAATATGATCAATTCATACAAAATCCTATCCTAACCTAACCGTACTAAGATCCGATGAACAAAACCAATAATAAATAAACACTAATTTCTACTGTTGACTGTAACCAATGGCAACTATATTAATAAATAAAAATAAAATTTCCAATTTCCATCGTAAACCTTAATGTCCCTGTTTGAGCACCTGTTTAAAATGCGAATTTCGGCAAATAATTTCTTACTGCACTGTGAAAATACGAGAAGAATCTCTATTCCAAATTTCAAGTTCGTACTTTAAGTAGTTTTTGAGGTACAGCGATCAGTGACTAAGTGGTATTTGGATTTTATATGTACAGGTAACGTAAACTCCTACGCTTGTATTTTACTCATCATTTAAAATGACAGGTTAAGGTATACACCTAATTTGTTATACATATTTTACACTTGGAGGTACCTGCAGGCTGCAGCTATACATAAAATATATTCCTCGAGTTATTTTTCGGGTAAAATAAGCGTCTAAAAATACGTCGCATCGTTGTTGTATTGTTATTGTTGTTTTTTAAATAATGACGACAATCGAGTGCGATTTATTGTCGCCGATCTTTTTATATAATATCATTATATTATATTATACATATTATACAGTCGTACTACTATACGCAATCACGTTGCGAAAAGGACATAAATTTAAAATTACAACTAGAGACGGCTAATGAAAATAACCGTTTAGGATATACATTTTATACGGAGAAAAAAACGGAAAATAAATAAATAGGTCGTATTTAAATTTAATACGTATAACGCCATACTCACGTTCCGATTGGTATATTTTTACCGTTCGCTATAAGATTTGTCGGTTTCGCTCGACACCATATCGGATTCAAAACTTTTAAATCTTTATATATTCGTTCTGCCACACCTCGTCGATGGCGATAACAATAATAAAATATAAATAGCTTTAACTTTATATATTACGCATAAAAAGGTACTCTTACATGCTACAGCTGATTGGTTAAAAAGTATGGTATACAGACGATGGAATACTCGTCATCTATTGAAAATAGGTAAGTCCAAATTTAAAAATATAAAATATATGTTATGCAGTGTTTATGTTGTGCGCAAACGAGTCATCGATATCTAGGTAAACAATTTGGATTGTGCGCAAACGAGTTGCACCGGGGCGCAACGGTAGTTTTGGCGACACGCTGGTCGGACGATAACAAATAACAATAATAATAAATAATAAATAATAATATATCATATCCGTGTATGATACACATGTAGAGCATTTGACGTATATATATATTATACGAGATTAGAAATTGCCTAAATGATTATTATTGAGACTATGATATTTAGTTTTAAACCTGTTTTTAGGAATTGGAGAGTTAGATAAAACAAAAATCGGATTATTCAATACCATTAAATAATATTAAATCATTAAATAATAGAATTCGTGAAAATAGCCAGTCGATACAAGGATAGTATACTAATTATTACTCTTTAGTCTTTACTATAGTACCTATAGATTATAATATAATTTGATTATTATGAATTGATGATATTATATTATAAGAAAAATAAATTACCAAAATGGCAAAATAGAAAGAATAAGTTTTGTCTCTTGGTTCCACATGATAAAAATTTAATTTAATTAACTTAACTGTACAATAATGATAATTAACTTTAAAAAGTTAAGTTTAAACAATACAAAATTTAACTGAATAAGTTAATAAGTTAAAAACAAAAAAAACTAACTAGTTAAGTTAAAAAGTTAAAAAAAAATTAACTTTTTAACTTAACTTTAACTTTTTAACAAGTTAATGCCCACCATTGCCTGAACATGGCTTGTATACACATTTTGGCATGAGAGAATACCATGCTCAAATTTTTTACAACATGAATATAAAGATAAATATACCTAGTTAAATTAAATATACCTTACACTACAATGTAATCTAGCTCTGGAACA